ACACGACGCATTCTCTTTGTATTTTCCCACCTTTCCCGAAGTCATAAACCTGCCAGTGATGTCAATGCCCACAGGTTCAGTTGATGTCTTCTCAGCGCTTGAACAAGGTTCTGACTTAGCAGAACTGATTTTTTTTCTTTGTTGTGATGGAGCCTAAAAAAAAGGTATTAAGATGTCATAAATTATGTGGGAAAGCATGATGTATATATTAAATTCCTCTATCACTTAAATTTTCATATGAAATGTGACTGCCAAATAATGCTGAGTCTAATGAGACTACACGTCTCTTGAAAACTACAAAGTGATGAAAATGTATTATGTTTGAACTATTAGTTTAGGACTCGTAGCTCCAAGTCACAAATGTGCAAAAACAAGTCACTAGTATTTAAAGCAAACATCAGGCATTGTAAGGTTACCCAGACCTGTGAATAGTGCAGTAATTGCACTATGCATTAATTTGCTGACTAGGGTATTGACTTTATACATTAAAATATAGCAACTTAGCCTAAGTTAAAATCTATTAATAAAATTACCTTCTCAAGACCACTCAACTCCTTGTGCTTTTTCATCACACAATTCAAAATATCACATATAATTTGGATTTTCCATTCTGCAAATCCACATTGGAGAAACTGCTTTTTCGTCAAGATTGGTTTATAATTAAATTGATCACGAAGAAGCTGTAAAGAGGAAACAGATCAATGAAATAATTGGGAGCAATTGCTTTCAAAAATCCAAAATTATAAATGACCACCTGGTCAGGGATGTACTGCCATTTTTGAGAGGCGAGAGGGGAGGATTAAGCCATTATATATAGGTCACTAAAGAAACCTGTAGGGGTGCTGTGAGTCCTGACCAGGTAGGAGAACAGGTAGGAAACAGTTAGCTAGGGATGTACCAGAGGATAGATAGCTGTCCAGAGAGATGAAAAAAGATATAAAAAGTTCAAATAGGGCTTCCCTGGTGGCACAGTGGTTGAGAGTCCGCCTGCCGATGCAGGGGACACGGGTTCGTGCCCCGGTCTGGGAGGATCCCACATGCCGCAGAGCAGCTGGGCCCGTGAGCCATGGCCGCTGATCCTGCGTGTCTGGAGCCTGTGCTCTGCAGCGGGAGAGGCCACAACGGGGAGAGGCCCGCATAACGCAAAAAAAAAAAAAAAAAAGACAAATAAATGCTAACATTAAAAAACTATTTGGAAACTGCTTACCTTTTAAAATCTATTTGAGATATTCGAAAGGTATGGAAACATTAAAGCTGAGATACAATATATCTGTTCGACAACCAACTTTCTATTTGGGTATGGTAAGTGAAAAGGGGTAAGAGTATCACATTAAAAAAAAAAAAAAAAAAAAAAAAAAGTTCAAATATCCTCATAGGTGCTAAAAAAAAAAAAACAAAACTCCTTAGCTCGCTGAACAAGATTACTATAGCAGATATCAGAAAACCACAGTTCTGTTTGTTTATAGAAATCATGACTTGATTTTTAGACAAGTTGGTAGGCTACTGAGTTTTGATTTCTCATGTATAAAATGAGAGATACAGATTAAAACAGTAATTTTCAAAACCTACTCTGTGGACCCTGGGATTTCCTAGAAGTGCCTCTCAGGCTTTCATGGAAGCTTTCTGGGGTGAGAGACAAAGAAAGGGAAGATTAAACAGAGACTATATTTAAAGGCTACCATTTCATCAAACTACCTAAAAAAGAAAAAATCAAGATTTGATTTGATAAATGGGCTTTACTATTTTTTTTTAAAGGTTAAGAAAACCACAGTACGTGAGCAAAAATTAATGATACAAAGTAGGGTTCTGAAAAATCAAACATGAGATTAAGTTCAGGATACATGTAGTACAAGTGCAGGTACTAGAGTAGACAATAAGACATGGTTTCAGACCTCAAGGAACACAAGTTGTTCCAACATAAGTTGTAGTCCCTTCTTATAAACAACTAAATTAACTCACAATTTTCTGAACCACAAACTTTACTCACTAAAACCACATTTCTCTCTAACTTCTGCCAGTATACCAAATTTTACTAAAATTTGATATAAAAAAGGCAAATGATAACCAATGACAATTACCAGTCCTCATATTTATTAGAGTATGAAACATACAGCAAACTTGAATTGCATCTTGATTATAACAGGGACTGCATTTACATGAGATAAATGCGTCTGAAAATACTGTCAACTATGCATGCGGCATATATTTGAGTTATAATAACATTAATCTTAAGAAAACCATTCAATGACTTCTAAAAGAATTATTGTTTCATAAATTCAAATTACCTTGTAGACAGTATCTATGAAACGTAAGTCATTCTTTGCTATGAGCTCTACATTGGAGTCCACCAGAAGTTCTGCTACATAAGGTGAATATGAGGTAAGGGAATAGCTGATGATGGGCAGAGAGGCTGCTGTGTCTCCCTTTACCAAACTGTTAGGAAAAACAGAAAAAGATTTTTAAAAAGCTTAATTCCACGAAGTTGGATAATCAGGGAAATAAAAGAAATGCTGTCAAAAACTCATAATTTAACACAATAGCCATAATAATTAGGTGATGCACAGGACCCTTTAGATTCCATCCCTTACTCTAAACCAGTGTAGGCAAATTAACTATGAAACAAAAACTCTTTAGTACCAACAGTCTATTTACCACAGTACTTATTGATTTTCCAAAGCTTAGCCTTACTCGATCTAGTCCATTTTCTCCTACTAATAAAGCAAATGTACGGTCTTACAGTACACAAGTAGGCTTCATGGTTTTGCAAACACTTCTCACATTACCTCACTTTCTCTTTATCACAAAGCTGCAAAGGGAAAATATTAGGAATTCTAAGTTACAGATGAGGAAAACAGGGCTGGAAAAGCTATCAACTGTGACTAGGCTGACCAGTTTACTATCTTCCCCTGACATCAGGCCCATTTGGAATCTACCTTATTAGCTTATGCTAATTCCTCCAGCCTAGAAAGGTATCCTACTCTTCTGTTATCTGTCATTCATTCTTTGTGAATCATCAGTCAAATCTCAAGCCTCCCATGAAGCCATCTTTCTGATCCTGATCCACAAGGATCTCTCTCAGAACGACTCGCCAGGTGTTCAGTATCTGACACCTGATGCTCTGCCTTGTACTGTTGTCTGTCTCCACACACAGATCTTGTTTCTCAAGGAGAAGTGCCTTCACTGATTCTCTCACAACAAGGCAGAGAAAGTATTTGTTCAACTGATGCGATAATGTACTTACTTAGAACATTTGTTTTCCACAAAATTCAAACACATACATAAATCTCCCCATCCCTGCCCAATTTTTTTCAATAAGGCAGGGAACAAATATGATAAGATTATATTTTGTTTTTTGCAGGACAAACATAAATTGTTTCTCTTTTATGTTCATGGGTAAAATTATAATTTACCCAATGAGAAAACTCCTCTAGCAACCTTGTCTCTCTGTAAGACAGTTCAAAACAGGAAATGAAAAAGTACTTTTTTAGAGCAAAATGTGTCCATTTTATCCACATTATGAATAGAAAACAGCCAGGTCTGCATTTAATACCTCTTACGTTAAAACAATCTCAAAAATCTTGGTTACCTAGTTTCTAAGGACTTAGACTAGAAACAGTAAGAGAAACAGATATTATAAATGGACAGGCCAACACGAAAAACAGCAGATGTCAGGAAAAAATTTTTAAATGGCAAAAAGTATACAGAATCAAAATACGCGGAGGGTGTATCTGTATGTGTACATGTGCGTGTCAGATCGGGCAGCGCAACCTGAAGCAGCAGCAAGTAGCACCACCTGTGTCTCAATAAACCCTGCAGACATTACTATCTTATAAAATAATCTAAACTTGTTCTTAATGATACTCTTGGGTCAATAAGAAAATCAAATGTTTGAATGCTGTATTCAGAAGACAGGAGAATCATCAGTATATTTTAGAATTATTCCTATCCAAAATGTCTGTTAAAATGTTAATACTTAAAGTGGGAAGAAGAAAACTTGGCTACTCAAACTGACTCAGCCCCTGCCAGTCTGGATAGTAGAGATTTCCCTGTTTTGAGGAACCAGTATGTGACTGGTTCACACTGTGCGAGCAGACTAGGGAATGCCTTCTGCTTCTCACATATGATGCTCGTAAGAACAGTCATCAGAGCGAAACCTTCCCTAGTCTCCTCAGTATCCATTCACTCGCAGCCTTCTCTTGGTTAGCTTTCCCTAGTTTACAAGACTATCTAGGATTCTACTGGGTTAAACCAATCCAGTTTCCCTCACTACTTGAATATATGCCTAATCTGGACTTGTCCCTCAACACGGTCATTGAATAAATGTCTAATTAGCTTCTAAGATGTGCCAGGCAGTTCTAGATGTGGGGGGCTGCAGTGAACTAAACAAAAAGCCCCAGATGTCAGGCTGCATTCTAGTGGGGGGAAACGTTTAACCAGTCAGCCATGCCAGGGAGGAAGAAAAAGAGGTATTAAACGATAAGAGGATGATGGGAGTACCGTATTAGGTTGGCAGAATTAGAGAAGAAATGTACCTTGTGACATTCTACAAAGGCGAGTAAGTCACATTTGGAAAGTGGAAACTAAAGCAAAAGGTTTAAGTGAGATAGCTTAATAACAATCTTCAAGCATGGTATACATTGTCATAAGAAATCTATTTACTAGAATCTCCCGAACCAAAAAGGAATACCACCCAACTAAATGTGCGAGGGTGGTAAATTACAGAACTAATGAAATCCATTACACTTCCGTGAGATTAAACGTTGTACAGAGACCACACCTGATTCTAACAATACTGTGCTTCCACTTCTAAAAGTTGTTTTAAATCTCCTGAGTTGGAATTTTTCATTAATTCCTACTTAGAAACAAACTCCTAACTGCTTTCTAAAAATCTCTTAGACATTTCAAGGAAAAAATTTAAAGGACCCAGATAAAATCTAGATTTTTATTTAGATACTCCCCTCAGGTCAAGCATTACCTCACATCATTACTGAAAATAATACAAAGAAGTTTGATATTGTAGCTCACCCTACACAATCCACCTCTCTAGGATAGTTTAGCGAGCGAAGCACTTGTTCTAGCTTCCGTAAGCTTCTTTTTAAGTCACCTGTTGCCATTATTTAACATTCGATTCAGCTCCAGCTTTGGAAATTATCTAATTTTTCACCTAAAAAAAAAAAAAATCCATGAAACACTGCTCAACTCTTTGTATCTTTGAAGCTCCTCTAGTCTCTTTTGTTCAATCTCATACACACTTACCATATTTATCTTAGCTATTTCTCCCCTAATTCATCTTCCCTACTGGTGTAGTACTGTCTTGTATCTGCCATATATTCCTGAATGTCAGGTGCACTTTTCCCCTCAATATTTTTTCACTAATAAAATAAGTTTGTCTTATGTTCATCTTCTAACAATGTGTCTGATATTATATGACACTCTCCCAAATACTTAATGGTACAACAAAGTACAATTTGGGAAGACATATCACCCTAAAATAATCTCCATCAATGACTATTTTGGATGCTTATAAAGGGTACACAATAAAAATCAGTAAGAAATGGATACAAAGAAATTTAGCACAGATTTGGTCAGTATTCCCAGGGTTCTGAACTTACATAGTTGTAAATCAGATCGTTTGCTTAAAAAATAAAAATAGATAAGTTAAAAAAAATTCAGAATTCAGCTGGTTAAATATGGCAGCTGGTTAAATGCATGTTACCTTCATTCCCTTTTCTAAACACCACTAAAATGAAAGTAAATGATTAGAAACCATATATACTCATCAGGGTAAAGAAAACTAGAGGGGATTCCACATGACAAAGGATGTGTCAACAAAATTTTGGAAGATGGAAAACAGATGGATGAGTGATAACCAACCTAGCAGAGCAAAGGTAGGTCAATCCCATCCTCCTATTTAGGAGGAAGCCAACAACAGCAACAGGTTCAGAAATGAGGGGACCTGATACTTCTGAAAGCCTGAAGGGTAAGGCCATGGCCTTGAAATAATAATGATTATTTGAAAGTCCGTATAAGAAGCTGCTAAACCCTAGATTTTTACTTTCCCTCTGCTTCCCCTCCCACCCCCCACCCCCAGACACATATAACTTGCTCAGCTAGGCAACTACCTCTGATTCCCCAGGTTTAGCAATGAGTTTTTAGAAAATATCAGCACAACCCATAAAAAAATTGACTTGGAATTCATTAAGATTAAACTTCTGTTCTACAAAATACACTGTTTAGAAAATGAAAAGACAGGCTGCAGACAGAATATTTATAAAACACATACTGGATAAAAGACTTGTTTCCAAAGTATACAAAGAATTCTTAAATGTAAGAGTAAGAAAACAAACAATCCAATTTAAAAATGGGCAAAATATCTGAAAATCTCATTAAAGAAGATACACAGATGGCAAATAAGCATATAAGATGCTCAACATCAAATGTCTTTAAGTAATTACAAATTTAAAAAATGACACCACTGCATATCTATTACAATGGTTAGAATCCAAAAAACTGACAGTACCAAATGCTTATGAGCATACGGAGCAACAGGAACTCTCATTTTTGGTGGGTGGGAACGCAAATCGCATAGCCCTTTTGGAAGACAGTTTGGCAGACTCTTACAAAGCTAAACACCATACAATCAGCAGTCGTGCTTATAGTTATTTACCCAAGTGATTTGAAAATTTAATGCACATACAAGATCCTGCACACAAATGTTTACAGCAGCTCTGCTCCTAATCACCCCAAACTGCAAGCAGTCAGGATGGCCTTCAATAGCCAAATGAATTAAAAAAACTAACACATCCATACAACAGGACATTATTCAGTAATAAAGAAAGAGCTATGAAGCCACAAAAAGACATGAGTGAACCTTAATGCATATTGCTAAGTAAAAGGAACCAGTCTGAAAAGGGTACATATTGTTTGGTTTCCATTTTATGATATTCTGGAAAAGGCAAAACTGTAGAGACAATAAAAACTACAGAGATCATGGCTGCAAGGATTCAGAGGTAAGAGGGAGGGTCACATACAGGTAATGTGCAAAGCTACCTCACAGAGGGGGTGGATGGAAAAGCTGCTAAGTAACTTTGGGAATGAGTGGAGCCTGTGAGACTAAAGGCAAAATGAGCTGCACAGAAACACTGTACTCCAGTGTATAAAGTTGTCTCCCATGTACATATGAGTTAATTCCACATATATGCTGGAATTGAACAATTAAGTAAATGGATGGCTAAATAGTAGAAGCCAGGATTCTCACTGCTGGAGTGGGAATTTACAGATAAGCAAGGGGAGGTGATTGGAATGAGCCACGCCTCATGGTTTAGTTAGACATGCAAGTATGAACTCATGTTTAGCTTAATATAGATGCAGAATATGTGTAATGCTGGCTCCCTGGAGAAATGGCCAATTCTAGGACTTGAGATGAGCCTGAGGCATTATATAATTCTGAAAGTAAGAAATTACACACAAAACAAACAAACCAATCCCACACGTATGTCATAGGGACACAGGAACCAAATGAAGCAGCTTCCGGTGGTCAAAGCTGAAACAATTTGAACAGCAAAAACAACAAAATCAGGCATTTGATAAAATTCAACATTTAGGATATAATTCTTAGGACGTTAGGAATAGAAGGGAACTGCCTGCAGTCATCTACAGGATATCTACAAAAAATTTACTGCAAACATCATATGTAAAGGTGAAATATTGAAAGCTTTCTTCCTGAGACTGGGAAAAGGCAAGCTTATCCACTCTCACCATTTCTATTTAATACTGTACCAGAGGTCTTAGACAGTACAAAAATACAAGAAAAAGAAATAAAAGGAATAAAGACTAAAAAGGAAGAAATAAAAATGTCATTAGTCACAGACAACATAATTGTATTTGAAAAAATCCAAAAGAAATCAAATGGATTTAGCACGGTTGCTGGATAGCAGGCCAATATACACGTATCAATTGTATTTCTCTGTACCACCCAAATAATTTCTAAATTATGTTTAAATATGTTGAAAAATATATGTGTAAATAATTCACTAGCCTCCAATATCATAAACATGTGAATAAATCTAAAACGGATCTGTAAGACCTCAAAACAAAAAAACCAGAAAACTTCATTGAGATAAATTAAAGAAGCCCTAACTAAGAGGTCTACATCTTGAGCAAGGATTTAAAGACTCAGTACGTCGATCCATAATTCAATGTATTCCCTCCATGCCATCCCTCCCCAAAACTCCCTGCAGTTTTTAAAGGTGGAAATTGACAAGCTGATTCCAAAATTTGCATAGATATGCAAAAGATAAACAATAAATAACACAATGCTGAAGAGGATCAAAATTGGAAAATTCAACCACTGGATAATGAGACTCATTATAAAGTTAAATTCAGAATTATTGAAAATATCTACAAACAGAACAATGGAGTGGAATAACGTACAGAAATAGACCATGCATACAGTGACACTAGACTTGTGACAAAGTTGATGCAGAGTAGCCCTGGAAAATGGATGGTCTTTTTCAATAAATGGTACTGTGTCAACTGAATATCCAAATGGGATAAATAAATCCTGACCCCTTGATGTAAAGGGTGCCTCACATCCTTCATAATTAATTCCAGGTTTGTTGTTGAAGATCTACATGTAAAATGTAAGACAAATAGGCTTTCTGGAGATCACAGAGTAGAATATCTTTATGCTCTTCAGGTAGAAAAACATTTCTTGTCTTATAACTGATAAAATGAACCACATTAAACTTACTAACTTCTGTTCATCAAAAGATACCCTTAAGAAAGTGGAAAGAAAAGCCACTGAGTGGAAGTTGATACTGTCAATATATACAACCAACAAAAAGATTCATAGCTAAAAGAAAATCCTACAAAGTAATAAGAAAAAGAAAGACAACTCAATAGAAAAATGGTAAAGAGATCTGAACAGGAACTTTACAAAAGAGTAAATGTGAAAAGATATGCAACCTCATTAATCATTAGGAAATCACAAAGTAAATCCAAAATGTGAGGTTGCAGAGCATTTGAAACAAACCACAATGGTGTGAAAGGGTAAATTAGTACAATTACTTTGGGAAACTTATTAGTGATACCTACTAACATACTCAGGGCCCATGAGACAGGAATATGATGCCAATGAATACAAATAACAGAATACGTGTGTACATTTATGTGCACCAAAAGACATGAACAATATTTGGGATTTTAAATTAAATGGTTCATTTTTTTAAATCTCAAAGAAAATGATACCATGGAATTATATTTTTAAATGACTCATTTTATTGCATGGTATAGGGCTTTCACTAGATTCTCAAAGGATGTTATTCCCAAGGGAGCTTCCTAAACTAAACAGGTAAATAAATGGTTAAGAACTTTTGCTAGAAAGAGACAAAGGGCTTCTAAACTGTAAGTCAATCAGCCAGTGAGGCAAAGCTCAATAACACACTTAAAAATAGCTAGTATTTGTAACTGTCCATGGACACTTCATAGAAGGAGAATAATATATAACAATACCTTGAGTATTGAATTCTCTGGGAATGAAGCTCCTCTAAAATGAGTTCACTGACATTAAAAACAAAACAGAACAACACATAAGTCAGGTGAAGCAGAGTTAGTACGGTCATTTCCCCCTAGTCAACATCCCAGCAGCTGCCTAGGATACAAATCACCTTCTTACACACCTTCCCTATATCTACACATAACCAGAGGTGGGCTAGCAATTTGCAAAATCCTAAATTTAGTAAGCTTTCTATTTTAAGCCACTGGCGACCCAGCTCTGTACCCTTTCCTCCTCTTATAGAACACAGAATCTTCCTGTTCCAAGCTTCCTCTCCTTTATCAACACGGTAAACAACACGTTATTGAATATACTTTTAAATGCTCACGCGTGGGGTTTAGTCAATATTTTTCAGCCAACCAATTACTTCAACTGAACATTTTAGGCAGAGGGAATTTCAAGTAGTGTCAAATGGGAGGGAACTAGAGAAAAGAGGAAGTTATCCTAAAAATCACATTCTACAATATACTGGCCAAGAAGGGTAAACCTTCTTTAACATCTTTTAGGATGACTGGGGGATTTGAAGCGGTTGAAGATGACTTCCCAAGACCAGCCTTTATTTTCCTGGGAAAGACAAAGTGGGAACTAATCTGGCTGTTGAATGCAAAAAATATATATTCTTGGGTGTTGCCCCTGGCCAATATAGTAGGTGTTAGCTCGTTTTAAGTTCCAGACCCACGTATCGTAACACAATTCTTCTAGGGGGACCTTTTCTCCTAAGACATTCTATAATTTTAATATAAATTTTATCTCTTCCCACAGACTTGCTTTAATCCTTTCAGATGTATGTTCCATCTTTGCGGTACATGGAATTTTTGTTTTATTTAACACTTTAAGGTATCTTTCCGTCCTTCCTTTCTCTGAAGTCCTGTAACGTATACCAATGTCTCATTATTTCTACCTTTGGTAATAGAATTTCTGACAACAAAGTATGTCCCTGGAACACATCTTCAGTACCAGCAGAATAAATATTTTGAAGAACAGTAAGATACAGGTACAGCTGGGATCTGTAGGTGAAGGAGATACGTGATAAACAGGATAGAAAAAAACAAAGGGGTTAAAACATTTTTGAGTATAGAAAAAAATTACAGCTACTGCTCTACACTTTCATGAAAGGCTTTACTTTTCTATTATAAAACTGAAAAAAACCCTAGAAATTAAGACATTAAAAAAAAAGCCAATTTAGGACTTGTGCACATTTTAACATAGTAGTTTCAGACATGAAAAGTAACTTTTTAAGAAATCGCTTAACATTTTCGCTTTATAACCCTTATAAAAAGAAATTAAAAGACAAAAGCATATATCACTCAGCTTGTAGCACAGATTCAACCATTAAGATGGTCTCAATATTGCTTCCTAGCTTCCTCCAGAGAGTTCTCTGCTACTAGTTAGGTCTGCCCCACTGAATTTATTACAGGAGACATTGTGGAAATGGTATAAAATAGCATTTTAAAGATTTTTAATCTAGTTGAATCTCACTGTTGTTAGAGGTCATTAAATGATGCCTCCCAATGGAATGCCATTGAACTCAGTGATCTTTGTTCAGAATGAAGCAACTACACCGACTGGTGTAAAGATGACGGTCGATGGCTAAGAGTTTGTGACAGCTCATAACGCTAAATATTATCTATCAGAAATAGAGGAGAGGGCTTCGCTGGTGGCGCAGTGGTTGAGAGTCCGCCTCCCGATGCAGGGGACACGGGTTCGTGCCCCGGTCCGGGAAGATCCCACATGCCGCGGAGCGGCTGGGCCTGTGAGCCATGGCCGCTGAGCCTGCGCGTCCAGAGCCTGTGCTCCGCAACGGGAGAGGCCACAACAGTGAGAGGCCCGCGTACAGAAAAAATAATAATAATAAATAAATAAATAAACAAACAAATAAATGAAAATTTAAAAAATAGAGGAGAAAATTGGGGAAAACGGAGAGTAAGGGTCAAGTATATAACTCTGTAGGATTGCTGTGCTCATATATAAAACCGTTAAAAGGTTTGTGGATAATTTTAGAAAAACAGTCTACTACAGCCCTAATTCCGGAATCCAAATTTCAAGATTGATTTTTTTTTTTACGGTAAGGGGAAAAGCTATAGTCCTGTAGGAAAGTGGAGAAACACTGAAACACTAGGGAAACGTAAAGCAAGGAAAACATCAACTATTCTCAGCTCTTCCTTCTCATCAGTATTTCCGAGGAGGCGGACTGCCCCTCAGCTCAGAGGCTCACACAACAGGAATCGCTCCGTCTAGGACTTCCCACCCTAAGTTACAACCTGATCTGAGAAGATGAGCGCTTCCCATTTCTTCGTTATCAAAAGGATATCCCAGTCGGGTTCATGGGCAAGGCACGTCTAGCATTCTCCTCCCCTGCACTTGATTTAAAAGGATGAAAAGGCAGCCCTGGTCATTCGCCCCAGCCGGGGCCTCGGTTAGGGCAGCGGAGAGAGGCGACCCCGGCCCATCCCGGGGCGCAGCCCCGCCTGCACCCCCGCGCTCACCCAGCAGCGGCCGAGCAAAGAACCGGCTCCAAAGGCCTCCGGCCCCTCACAACGGGCAGAGGAGGCGGTAGCACGTGCAATCCCAGAGCCCCGGGAGCCCGGCCTCCAGCAACGACTCCCTGCGGCCAGACGCCGATGCCGGGACGCGCTTCTCCCGCCGACCGTTTGTATTCTGAGCAGCGGGTGGTAGGCCGCCACGCACCGCGGCAGGGCCTTCCAAGCTGCCGGCTCCCCTGCGCTCCTGGATTCCCTGCTGCAGATTCCACACCACGTTCATACAGAGCCCTGGGAAGACTGACCCTGCCGAGAGTCTTTTCTACGTCCAGTCCGATCCCAAGGTGCAGATTCGAAGTCTGCCCGGTTCTGAGGCTCAGAGGGGATCGGACTGCGAAGTGAGAGACCGGGACTCTGTGGCGAATCGTAGATCGAGGGGATAAAAATACTTCTTCTTGAAGCGCCCCCGAATATGGACGTCACTTCCGGCAACAATAGGAAACGTCAAAACTCGGAGAGTCGGCCGCTCAGGCTGCTGCAGCCTGGGGCACGCTGAGTTCGGAGGGATCAGGTGCTGTTTCTGGGATTCTCCCCGACCTCACCTCCACCAGCGTGAACAAATAAAGTTTGAACCGGCTTCTCCATGGCCTGCGCACCCCTTCCCGGCTGAGCCATTTTCTTTTTGGCTGAAAGCCCCCGCCCAGAGGCCGATTCGTCGCGGCGGCGGTGGGGAATCGCAGGTCGCTCAGGTAAGGGTGTCACCCTAGATATTTCAGAGTTCTTGCCTCTCTTCCCTGTACACCCCTACTTTTCTTCTCGGAAATGATGACCACCGGTGCTCCAGTTGGCAGAAACTTGCCAAGCAGCGAGACTTTGGGGCCAATGGCTGTGCGAAGCACCTTGAGTGACAGCGGTGTTGGCTAATTAAAATGAGGAATCCGTGTCAGGAGGCGGGAGTAGGTGTGCTTCTTGTGTTCCTGGGTCACTGAGGACCCCTAGGTCAGCTTGGGACCCCAGGTAGGGCCCGGCTTCACTCTGAAATAAAGCCGGGAAACAGCAGAGGTTACGCTCTTCTAGCCCAGGTGTTGCTTTCCAAGTAGAATGTGTTTTTGGTGCATAGGCAGAGTTTTTGGCTCTTAACATACTTTTTACAGTAACATGAATGCAAACACATCTAGTTAAGGTCACGATGGATTGCCAGTTGCTTCAGCTGTTAAACTTTGGTTATAAACTCGGCAGATTCTTAACTTGTCTCTTGCTTGTTTCTCTGTGACTAGGCTCTAGTTTCTTATATGGTGGGTGCTCACTTAATTATTATTAAAATTGGGTGAAATCACAAATGGATCCCAATCCTCAGTCGTTTAAGGGTTTTGTTTTATTTTTAGGTTCTGTATGTATTTAGTAATTTAATAATTGAATCTACTTCTTTTAACAAGTGGAGTCTTTATTTTCAAGGATCCCAGGTATTTCCATATCAATAGATTATGACCTTTATTACTGCAAAGTGAAGCTAATTTATGTTTTCCATTTCAGCTTTCCATATTTTTTTTTAATGTTGCAGCTGGTGACCATATTTCGGGGATAGGGAGAATTTTTACCCCCTAAGAAAACGGTTCACAAACTTGAGCAGATATCAGAATTAAGAATAAATTTTATTCTCTTTTCGGGTTGAGTAGGAAACTCGCTATTTTTATCCAGTTAACTTGACGGTTTGTCTGAGATACTGTATACAGTATGGCAGCTGACTTTCGCTCAAGTGAGCAATCCAAGAGAGAGCACCCAAGACTCTCTCTAGTCTTCTATAAGCTAATTTCAGAAGTGGCATCCCATCACTACTGCCATATTCTGTTGATAGGAGTCAATAAATCCAACTCAATCACTGTGGAGAGGATTACACAAGGGCATGAGTCCCAAGACGCAAGGGCCTATGGGAGCCATCTTAGAGGCGGCCTAACACAGACACCCTGGCTAATAACTTTTAGGAGTTAATAGATAGAAATAACTGAGCAAAAATATGCCTGGTTGTAATGAAATAGACAAACTTATACATGGATTTTATTTCTTGGAAAGTTGTTTTTTTTTTTTTTCCTGGCGGGGGGTCTTTTTTTTTCTACTAAATGCCTGAAGAGAGGCTTATTATTTTTCTTGGAAAGCTTTGCTTGAGGAATGACATGTGTGAGAGGAGGGTTTGTGTTTTTAAGGTGTACGTGAACAGAGCATATCACAACTGGAGACTGTGTATTCCTTACCCATTGCCATTTTATATGGTTGAAATGGTTTCAAAATAAACATGAGCAAAGATAGCTTTAAAGGTGGAAAGAAGTTAGGAAAGGCTAGAGGTAAGCCTTTCTAGCGTAGAAAGAATGTGGCAGTCTCTGTGTTGGTATGAGAGCAAACAGGGGTGGGAGAGGTCTGTCTGAGAACAGAAATGTGTTTGTGTGTGTGTTTTTAAGCATTATTAGATGTCAGGTACCACCTTCTTTCAGCATTACCTGGGCGCACATCACCAGCACAGCTTTTGTCAGTGAACCAAATGAGCTTATTGGAAATGAAAGGTACGGGCTTCCGGGTTTATTGTGACACTGTTTTGGCCTTGACCCACTGTAAAATTGCCTATGCTTCTTCCAGGTTTGAAAGATGTTGTCATCTTTTATACCTCAGGTGCTTAATGCCAGCCCAACTGTGTCAATCCTCAAATTGTAGATTTGGCTTTTAAATAGGTACTCCCTATCAGGTTAACATAGTTCATTTATAGTAGGTTACAACCAATTAACTAGTGTTGTTTTGGGCCCTTAGATGTCTGCCAGATTTTAAACAGGTGCTTTTGCTAAAATAACACAGTTGAAATACTTCATTCACAAAATATCTTATGGTAATAACTAGATAAGCTAAACCATGCCTTGTAATTTATTACACTTATTATCAGTTTAATAGGGAATATTTTGTGTGTTTATTGTGCTTAGAATTGCATAAATTAAAAGATATTTGTTTTCCTCATTTCACGATACAAAAACATGAATTACCAAGAAATTACCTTTTCTTTGATCACAAAGCATTGAAATTAGTCGTTCAAATTTATGATTTTATCGTTCATTACTTAACCAACTGCTATGTATTGATACAACTCTCTTTTTTTTTTTTCTTTTGGTATGTGGGCCTCTTACTGTCGTGGCCTCTCCCCTTGCGGAGCAGAGGCTCCGGACGCGCAGGCCCAGCGGCCATGGCTCACGGGCCCAGCCGCTCTGCGGCATGTGGGATCTTCCCGGACTGGGGCACGAACTCGTGTCCCCTGCATCGGCAGGCGGACTCTCAACCACTGCGCCACCAGGGAAGCCCCAACTCTCTTTTTTTCCTACATTTTGATTCAGATTTGGAAACTGAGGCTAATCCATTGGCTGACCTATGATAATGTGTCAAAATCATTAACATGAAGTCTATGAATTATACATTAACTCACGTTGCATTTCCATTGAATTATTTTACTTACTATTTTAAAACAACTTTAATGAAATACATCCACTTCTAGAAATTTATGTTCTCCATTTCTTTATTTTTTTCTCGTGGTTTTGTTTTACTGACATTGACATAGATTCTCCAGTGAAACTTGAATGAGTTTATATTCTATTTAGGGCAAGTGCTTTTGTGATGTAGATAGAGATGAGAAAAGATATTTGCTTTCAAGTTTAGGCTGTTTGGGAGTTTAGCTCTGTGATCAGCAGTTTGTGTATTCTGCAAGAGCAGATTGCAGGGGATTTCATAAGCTATTTGAAAGAAGGAACAAGATTTTAGCAAGTGAGCCATGCTTGGAGAGCCCCTATCTGCTCATCCTGAGCAGTGATTTGTAGAAGTCATGGACATGGGGGGAAAGAGATGGAAAGGACAGATGCTAAATACACATACACAGGCACACATACGTCCATCTCCATCACCTCTTCCTTTTATTTTAATTTTTTAGGATTTTCTCATTTTTATAGGATCATAGAATTTTATAGCAGAAAGGGAACTTAGGGATCATCAAGTTCAAAACCCGCTTTTTACCGGTGAGGAAAGTGAGGCTTTGAGTATTGTGCCCTCTACTCACAACTAGTTGAAGGAGCCTGAATCAAGCGCATGTTTTGTGTCAGTCTGTTTTCATTGTTAGATGTTTTCTCATCTCACTTCTGACTTTCCTATTGGCTCCTGTCAATATTTATTTTATGTTAATACCTTGTCTTATTTGTGTAAAAGCAATTCAGTGAGAATTACAGTTTTTGTTTTGTTTTCCCATTTTTTTTAATTATGGTGAAATAAACATAACATAAAATTTACCATCTTAGCTTTTTTTTTTTTTTTTTTTTTTGCGGTACGTGGGCCCCTCACTGTTGTGGCCTCTCCTGTTGCGGAGGGGCCCAGCTGCTCCGCGGCATGTGGGATCTTCCCGGACTGGGACATGAACCCACGTCCCCTGCATCGGCAGGCGGACTCTCAACCACTGCACCACCAGGGAAGCCCCATCTTAGCCATTTTTAAGTGTACAGTTCAGTGCCATTAATAAACACATCGTTTTGTTTTTTAATTCCACAACTCTCATAGGAATGGCCTTGCAGTCAGTGGGCATGGAGTGTGGTGTGCCATGAGGAGGTAGGTTGGGATGTGCTGCCATGACCACTGCTGATTGCAGTTGGGTTGAGTAAAGAGTGCAGTTAAAGTATCAGTGTAATTAAAAATAATGCCAGTGAGAAATTTAATAAATTTATTTTATTTGAAAGTTAAAACAGACAGTGGAACATCTCTTGCAAAAGAAGCTGAAGAAATAAGTGAAATTAAATAAACCCCCGATTCTCTGCTTTTTGGTTACATTTTAAATGACATCTTAATGTTTACATTTGTTTAGATGCCATTTGGTAACACTTATTACAGAATCAAAGAACAGGAAAAAACCTTCAGAAAACAAAGTAATATTGTAAATCTTTTTCGAATTAAAAAAACCCCTACAAATGGTATGCTTTTTAGTAGCAAAAACTGCTCTTGAAGGACCAGATCTTTAAATTTAATGACTGGTTTGTTTGTTTTGTTTTTTTATGTTTTTAATGTACCCTGTGACCTCTTAGTACTTAGCTATTTCCCTTTTCTCGTGAAAAAGACCTCCTTGTGGACTTACCCTTCCTTCATTTCTCTACAGTTGTTGCCTTTCAATGTTAGAAGTGTGAATGGTTATCAGGTTTTTTTCTTTTCTTTTTCTCCCCTCTACTCAGTCTGTTCTAAACTACTTTGGTGGTCTGCTCTTTTGGAAGTAGAGAAGTAAATGTTGGGCTGCCAATTTGGTTATATATGTATAAAATATTTTCTCATAGAATCTCCCATGTTCTTATGCCTTTGAGTAATATCACATGATAACACTTAAAAAGATTTTTAAAACCTTAAGTAACCAAAAATCTAGTTGTTACTTTCTCATTGGAAAAAAATTGAAAATCTCTAAGAAGATATAAATGAGTGAATTTCCTCATCTTTAAGGCAATAGAATTTTCATGTTAGAGATAATTCTTTTGGTACACATTTTAGATCTTTATCTGAGATAGGAAATTTCTTATTTGTAAACCCCACTATTTAGACACTTAAGAAATATTGAGAAAAACTAACCATTTATAATGAGTGTTTAAAGTAGCTCATTCGTGTCACTCATAAAGTAGCTCATTCATGTTAAACCCATGATTTAACACTGCTTGCTCAGGAAGAGACTTTATGGAATCTCGTTTGCTTCAGACAAAAG